AAAAAAAAAAAAAAAAAAAAAAAAAAAAAAAAAAAATAAAAAAATAAAAAAATAAAAAAATAAAAAAATAAAAAAATCTAAAAAAATAAAAATAAAAAAAATAAAAATATAAAAACAAAAATAAAAAAATTAAATTATAATAAAAAAACTAAAAAATTAATAAAAAAATAAAAAAATAAAAATAAAAAAATAAAAATAAAATAATAAAATAAAATAATAAAAATAAAAAAATAAAAAATAAATAAATACAGAATAAATAAACAAAAAAATAAAAAAATTAAATAAATAAAAATCTAAAAAATAAAAATAATCAAAAATAAATTAAAATAATAAGAACAATGACATTTTTATTACCTAATATTGATTTACTATAACTATCTATCCCTACTTCTCAGATAAGGTAAGAAAAACAGCTAATCAAAAATTAAATCCAAAATAAGTAATTTGATTAGCTAAACAAAATAACAGTACTCAAGAAAACATACAGAGGGGTTTTCAAAATTCTAAATCAAAATGCATTAAAATACTGGTTAGCTAGAAGTAAAAATGTCTAGTTGTTAATTTTGCTATAGAACTTGCTAATAACTAGAACTAAATACTGACCTAGATTTGATGCATCTAACTCAGAAATTTGAAAACCATTCTGTAAAAATTATTAAGAAATCCAGTCAGTACAGACTCCAGAAGTTAAATATTTATTAAAATTAGACTTAAAACTTCAACTAACACATATAGCTAGTATATTTTAGATATTTCATATTATGTTAGATGCATGTATAAATGCAAGTCAAAGTTTTATATCTGACTTTTTATTAGCATCCTACTTTGCATTCATTTAACAATAAAGAAGATTATATTGTATATAGCATGATAATTAAGCCAATATAGCAAAAGAGGCATTCTCATTATTCTAAAACAAAAACTTTTTTTTTTTAAAAAAAAACATCACTAGTATGACATTATATAGCATGATTTAATGAATACTAAAACAAGAAATTTTCTATACATATATATATTAAAAAATTATCATTTAATACTCATCTTTTTTTATTTTATGAACAACATTTTTTTTTAATGCACAAAGTTGACATTAAAATAAATAGACAACTCAATCTTAGTTCCTATTATGAAAAAGAAATAAGAACTTTTAAAGAAAAAGCAGCTGATAATTCTAATAGACAAAATGAAGATGGTAATTCTACTAGACAAAATAATGACTTTCACAACCAACAAGAAATAAACACTAACAAAAATAAAAAAAAACATTTTGTCAAACTTTTTTTTTAATTTCTAAATATAATAAAAATTTAATTTATAGTTTACTAACAAGTAAATATCAGGAATTTTCAAATGCCTATATATATAGTATTATAATAAAGACAGAAAATAGTACTTCTAATCATGTACAAGTTTGTTATAAGGCAACACAAGAATAGAACAAAATTAAAACCAAAAGCATGAAGAAAATAAACAATATAATAAAGGCATATTTGACTATGCTATTTAATCTATATAATGTACAAACAATGAAATTAAGAAATTTTGTGTCTAAAGAAAACTTAGCACCTTTTCATTCTACTATCTATTCAGTAAAAGACCCTGTATCTGAAATTTTACCAAATGCAGTAGCACAAAAGAATGCAGCAAATGCAATTGAAACAGCTAAAAAAAAACTTTTGGAACTTAAGCAAATGTACAACATTATAACAAACCTCTAGTTTCAATATAAAATATATAAAAAAATAGAAGAATTTTAAACACAAATACAAGCTAATAGAAATAGAATTGTTAAATTAAAAAGAAACACAAAGTATACTCAAAACTGTAAAAAAAAGAAACAAAAAATACTTATTGAAACTCAGGAAGTAATTAAATACAATCAGCCAGGTTATCTATTACTTCTTTTTAAGCATTCATATTTGCATAATTTTATTTATAAATTAGTTGAACTTGGATCAGCTAATAAAAAACAGAAAAAAAAAATAGTTAAAGTGCAAATAGTAAAAAATTTATATAAAAACCTTAAAGAGAATTATAGTGTCTATATGGCATGAACAACATTAAATAATTACTTCTTATCTTGACAATTCAATTCTATAGCCATGAAGGCATACCACCACCTAGCATAAATTTCAATTGCAGGTATTTCATGAACTGAAATATATAAACATCCTAACAGTTACTATTGTTTTGTATCTATCAAATGTATGAAACAGTTGACATCTGCTTTTGCTAATATATCAATAATAATATTCTAGAATAATAAAGCAAAGATAGGCCTTAGTGTGCCTGCTGTTAGTTAAACATTTTATAAATTACAATTAATCAATAATTTAATATAGGTATCAGATCATGATTTCTTTGTAGAGTTTGAACAACAATTAATTCCATTAGTATACCTTGTAATCAATCTAAATAATCAAATGATGAGCTACAAACAAAACAACTTGCCATTTTTGTATGCTGCCAGTAGTCTCTTGGTATTTCCTTGCTTACACATATTCATAATCTTGAAAATCTTACTTTAGATATTCAATATAATTTTGCATTAAAAACTAATGAAGAAATTCAACTGATCTGGATTTTATTAATAGATGATAGACCAGATAAAAATCTAAGACATCTAAAAAATATTAGTCATATTGTTTGCTTTTTTGAAAGTTCAATTTGGATTATTTGACTATAAGAACAAATAAATGCCCTAGAACAGTTCAAATATAATTCTGTTAAAAGAGACATAATAATACTTTTTGGTAAATTAGCAAGTGTTGTATTACTAATTAATTATTTCAGAATGCATCTAAACTCTCAAGACAAAGTTATTAACTCAGAATTGGCTCTTAAAAATTTTAAATATGCTAAAGAAGCTCTTTGTGATATTTGGCATCATAATTTGATTTTTGAAAAGCATATAAATGCACAATATGTTGAGAAATTTACAAACTCTTTTGAGAATTTATAGTTTGAGAGCACTAATAAAGAAAAAAAGGAAAAGCATGAATGATAAGACAAAGAAAATCAAAAAAAAATCAAAAAATTAAACCAAAAATCAAAAAAAATAATTTAGCTGAATGTTTTATATTATAGTTATAAATTGAAAATTATTGTAACTTGTGTCAATATTCTCTTAACATAAAGCAATGCATGAATACAAATTGCTGTGAACCACCTTATGCAAAAGAAGTTATGAATTTCCTTCAGCTAAATAACAATTTTTTGCCTCAAGTTACTGAAGCTAAAGATGGTTGTTTTCTCAATGCTATACACCTCTTTAAATACTATGATCACTTAAAAATTCTTACAGTAACTATAATTTGCACTGTTTATCTCTTGATGAAACAACTTATTTATGTCTTCATTGTCTCAAGTATAATTTATATTTTCCAACACTTATATTTTTAATATATTACAAATGGCTAATGCATCCTACTAGTTATAGAAAACCCAAAGGAAAATCTAAAGACCAAATTGAGCAAACCTTATTAACTTTTAATAATTTTTTTTTTCTATTATTACAGCCATATGTTTAGATAATTTTACCTAATGAAATGTTTCTTAGAGAATAGGCATCAGATAATGAATGACCTGTAATTGTTTAGAATTTAATCATACTCTGCTCATGAAGACATCAAAAATATATATATATATATATATATAATCTTTATGAGAACTAATATTTTAAATTAGGTGTAAATAGTTGAGTTAGAAACCTGGTTTCAATTAATAATTAAACAAAAACAGACAAGTTTAAATAAAGTACTAGATATTAGTATAATAAAATATATTTTTGTATGACTTCTACTAGCTATTGAGTATATAAAGTAATTAAAGATTGTATCATTCAGATACTTTTTATTTATCATAAAAAAAATACCAAACAAATGTATTTACATAATTATTATTAATCTTGTAAAAGATAGTATATAAAAGTAAATAAATAAAACTAGTATATGCTAATCTGAATTGTTGTAACATTACTGGATTGTATGTTGATTAATTAAGCAATAAATTTGTAATCATCTTTTTTAGCTATATACAGTACATACTATTAATGATACATTGCGACAATAATTAGCTAGTATTTTATATGTATAATCTAAGATTTTACATTATCTCCTATTTCTAAAAATATTAGATAATAAATGTTATGGCCCTAATAAAATATAA